TTGTTGGTGAATGGCTTGTTGGATTATTATAGTTTGCCAAGTTTTTCTTCTGAATTAATGGTGACAAGGTTACTTTATGGTAGTTGTATTTGAGAATCTCAGTTACAACTTGCCCAACTAGGAGCTAAAAAACACATTGTTTTAGAAGATTTATATGATGGAAAATAGGAGGTAGTTAATGATTATCCTCCCTGATTATCATGAGTGGCAAGAAGAAGGAAAATGTGAAAGGAAAAGTCTTCTTTTTAAAATTTTATTTAAGGAGAAAAAGAAAAAAAAACAGAAAAAGGGTACAAGTTATACAGAATTTCAAAAAAATAAACAGTAGGAAATCACTAGTTAATAGATTACATATTGTCATCTTAGAAATAGTTGTTCAAGTTACAAAATTAAAGCATATAAAGGGGACATTCACACAGTGAGACTGCAAACAGTTCTGTTCAATGATCCAACAAAAACTCAGTAATATGGTTATCTATCTTATACACTTAAATATACATGCAGTTATATTCTTTAGAGCACTTTCTTTTCCTCTCTTTTTTACAATGACAATTACACATTTTGGGTTTTATTACTCCCACAGTTCTTATTACTTTTTTTGAAGAGAATAAAACCAAATGAGACATAATAAAACAGAGTCAGTCAAATCAAAAGGATGGACATAGTACATAACGTAAAAACAGAATACAAGGTGATCAACAATGGTTACCATAATGCCTCTTGCTATCTTAAAAAGAATTGCCTATATCATCAGTTATAATAAAATTGAACAAAACAGTAAAGAACAAAACCAATAAAACCAAAACATTGGAGACATTAACAGGACTTCAAAAGAAGATAATAGTCAACCAGAATGGGCGTCATAATGAATCTTATTGTCTTCACAGTTGTTGCCTATACTTTCGAACTTGGTACTGTCAAGCAAAACAGAATAGAGGAAAATCAGTCAAAACAAGATGGTGAGAGCGATACAAGGTTTCAAATCAAGTTAATAGTAAATCAAAGTGGATTACTATAATATATCCTGCTATTTTTTATTTTTCCCTTAATTAAAAAGATAAAAATAAAAAAGTAAATAATAAAAAAAAGGAGATTGAGATAAAAGAAGGCATAACAACAAAACAGCACAGGTCAAAACATAACCATTTAAGCAAAATAGTGTTTCACCACAAGATATCCCGACATAAAAGTAGTTATCATAGTGTCTCTTTCCTTGAAATCTTTGAGTATAACTTTGTATACTGTAGCATCAAACATATCCAGACAATGTAAAACCATTCCAGAGAATGACAGTATTACAGGGTATTTAGAACCAACTAACATAAAATGAACAATGGTTTCTGTATTATCTCCTTGTCTATAAAAGTTTTTGTTTATATTATCACATATAATAAAATCCAATAAGATACAACATGGTAAGACTGCTGGAAACAGAAGAACAAAAGCTTGATGGAACTTCAAAACAAGATGATATTAAATCAGCACTAACTTTTATGATGTCTTGTTTTCTCTAAAATAGCTGTTCATACCATCTAACCTTCTCTGCCTCATTTCTGTTGAGCTCTTTTTCTGTCATTAGTTGTCAGTTTGTCTTCTTCATTTCACTTTCTGCTCCATTTATTGTGGCCTCTCTGCCACTGTTTCTGGAATCTTGGTATTTTTCTCTTTTAGAATGTCCTGCAGTATTCTCTGTAGAATTGAATTACTGGTTGCAAATTCCCCTAGATCCTGGTTATCCTAGTTATCCTGGAAGCACCTTGATTCTCCATTAATTTCTAGGCACAATTGTGCAGGATATATCAATCTTGGCTGGAAGTTATTATCTTTCAAAGCTTGAATTATTTCCCCCCATGCTCTTTGTGATTTGATGGTTTGTGCTGAGAAGTCTGCTGTAATTCTGATGGGTGTTCCCTTGTAAGTGATCTGTTTCTTGTCTCTGATGGCTTTTAATATTCTGTTCTTATATTGGATTTCTGGGATTTTGATTATTATATGCCTGGGTGTAGCTCTGTTTGGGTTGTGGGTGGCTGGGGTCCTATATGCCTCATAGATCTGAGTATCTTTACTTTTTCCCATTTTAGGGAAGTTCCCCTTGATTATTTCTGTGAATAGCCTTTGCAGTTCATTTGTTTGTATCTCTGTTTCTTCCTTTACATTCTTAATTCTTAAGTTATAGATCCTCTTATCATCTTCTAGCCTTTTACTGCTTGTTTCCTTGATATTTTTAAGAAGTTTTTTGTTTCATGTTCCCACATTACAAATCTGTCCTGCAGTTCAGATAATCTATCCTTTGTTTCTTTCAAGCTGTTATGCCAACTTTTAATAGAGTTTTTAGTTTCCTGGTAATCTCTTTGAACCTGCTTCATGTATTCTACATTTTCTCTATTTTCTCCATCAAACAATTCTCCCCTTTTTTCTGTACTTCCATTCCACCGTCTTTTTTTCCTTGGGCAGTGCTTAGCATTTCTCTAACTATCCTACTTATATCTTGCTTTACTTGGTTAAATACTTCACTTTTGAACTCGTCTATGAGGTCCCAGAGATATTGCTTTATGTCTATTAGTACTGTGTCTGATATTGCATGTTTTCTGTCCTCATTCTCCTTTGCATTTACCTTTCTTGGATCAGTGTTCTCAGGATTGGGGACTGAGGACCCTTTCTTGTTGCTCCCTCTTCTTGTACTTTTTGTTCCTTCCATACAAGCGTATATAGGGTGCCCAGTTTCTTTTTTTGTCGGTTAGGTTTGTTTGAATTGTGCTGGCTAGGTGTTCCCACCCACTGCAGTGTACCAGGGAGACACAGACCTGGGCAGCCTATGCTGGGCCCGCCCCTCCAGGTCAGTCAACCTGCTGAAGGCTTCACTGCATTAGAGTGCACTGCCAGGCACAGGGACCTGGTTTGGGCTAGCCTACTGGGTCTTAGTCTGCAGTGCTACCCAGTTCAAGCTCTCCCCACCAATCCCACTTGAGAGGGGAATATGTGACTGAAGTCACTGCAGCGTCCTGTTCCGGCTAGTCTGCCTGTCCCAGAATGTCCTTGGTTGGAGCCTCCTAGTCTATGGAAGGGTCCCTGTTCCTCTCAGTCACCTCAGGTCGATGCAGGGCTCCCTGCCAGCTCTGCTCTCAGTTTGGTTCGCCAATTCCCGCTCTGAGAGATTTTGCATCTCTGTCTCTGCTGTGCTGATTCAGATGCAGCAGCAGCAGCAAGATATTCAAGCTGTGGTTTCCAGAGGCACGGGTTCCAGCTTTGGCACTGAGACTTCAGCTGTTCCAGTCGTAGCACCGGGATTGCCGTTCCAGTTGGTTTCTCTCAGCTTAGTTCGTTCCTGGGTTGGCAGGGTATATTTCCCCCTGCTTAGGACTCCCCACACTGTACCATTCGTGGAATCTAAGCTGGCTATCTCAGAGAGCCTCCGTAGCTGCTGTTATCCACCATAGTTTCCTGGAAGCCTAAATTTGTTTATTCTTTAACTCCTACTGGTTTGTCCTTGTTCTCCTGCCATTCTTCCTCCCTAGATGTCCAGGGTACCTTTCACCCTCGGATCCTGCTGCCTTTATCATATCAAATCTTCTCAGCCAATGACATTTTCTGGAATTTCTGCTCTGGATCAGCCTTGTTAAGCTCAAATGAGGTTCTTCAGTAACTCTCATATATAGTTTATGCTCAGCTTCTTTTCAACTTAGTAGTATCTGAACAGTTCATTAGATGATACCTTTTCGGGGGATTCAGACCATAGTTCACTGGCTCCAAAGCAGAAGCAACATAGTAAAAGGGTGTGGTGAAGCAAAGATCCTTAATTCATGACAACTGGGAAGCAGAGCAAAATAAAAAACAATTGAAAGAAAAAGCCTTGACCATGAGACTATTGTTGAATAAGTCAAAGGAATTATTGTAATTATTCAAATACATAATATAATTCAAAATGAGAGGGAATGATTTTCTATATCTGCTTTAATAAGTAATTAATCATTCTTATAATACATGTATTAAATGTTTGAATATGAATTATTGCTTATGGGTTCAGAATTTTTTTCAAAGTTTTCTTACTAGACCTGGGAACTAAAAACAAGAGTCTCTTGTCATCAGTAACACTCAGATCATCACAAATTCCAAATAAATGGGATCTGAATTAATGATGTTTTAATATTCCTACAAATCCATGCATTAGTTCTTATTTAGATCTACTACTTTTCCAAATTTATCACTGGAAAACTGCCCCTATTTTTGTAGAAACTTCCCACTGCAAAGTCCAAAAGCAGCCCAAAGAAACAGACTTTGTCTTCTGCTCCACCATATAGCTGTTTTGACACAAATGGCTCACTAGACACACACAGAAATCTCAGACACCTGCTTCTCCCAGAAGATGGTTTGTATTACCCGTAGCATCCCTCTTTTCTGGCACCCAACACAGCCATCCATTTCCAGCGGGAGAGGCAGAGGTGTTTGTTTTACATTTATGAAAGACGTGTTTAGAGGTTGTGTTATCACCCTGAGTGGGGGAGAATTAGGTATACTTTAGATATGAATATATATGTATTAAAATGAAGTTGTTGCCTATCAAATGATGTTTTGTGAAGAAAAAATAAGCCTTCTGTAAATATGTATTAAAGATGAAGACCAATGTTATCCTGTGCCTTCCTTTATAATTCTTTTAAGCTAAGATTCAGGAACAGCAACACAATATTCTTTTACTGTCTCCTCCCTTGGTGGACTTTGGTTTCTTCTCTCTGTTCTTTTTAACCTCTTTCACTGAACACCATTAGCTTACTGGAGATCAGAATAACTTTGCCTCCTTGCAAATTTTTATGAACATTAAACACCTCTTACAGAACAAGGGAGTGAAGGAGTTTCCTTTTCTGAGTTTTGTTTCTTTGATCCAAACATAGTTTGAAAGTCTCTTCACATGGCTTTGACACATTTGGATTCATTCTGGGTTTGTCTTCCTGACACAGATTTATTGAATGATGCAGTGCACTCTTACATCTCCTGGATTAAATACACATAAGCCAGGCCTCAGATTCTCTGCCTTTGTCATGTCCACAGCCCTTCACAGAAGACACCCTGGGCAACCTCCACTTGCAGGCCCCAGCCTGCTCGAGCCCATGAGTCAGATCTTCCTCACCTGAAAGTGTACCTGAAGCCTCAGCCCCAACAGTCAGCAGTGAAGTCTTGGAGCCTGTAAAGCTTTGGATAAACAACATCACCAACCCGGGCTGGCCTCAACCTGGCAGCTGGGAACCAGGAGTACAGTGGAGACAGCGATGGCTGAAAAGCCAGGCGTATCTGGAAGGCCAGGTTAGTTTCTCCACTCTCATCCTTATCTGTGTGGCCTTGGGCAAGTCACTGAACCTCTCAAACCATCTGGCTCCTATCTGTCAAGGATAGGTCACCTCTGTTTTTCATCCCATACAGACATTCTTGGCTATATTATTTTCAAATTCAATATAAGTAGAGGCACAGTTTTTAATTGCATACCTTGAATTATCTGTTCCTGCTAGGATGATAGCAGTTTTATATAATGCAAGGATCAACCATCTGCCTTCTTTTTGTCACTTCTGTTTTAAAAATTCTTACTTTTATGGTTGAAACTGTATCTTTCAACCATAAAGCTATTGGAGAGCAATGATGCTAATTGTTATTATTCCTAATTATTCTTAGTTGTTAATATTTAACAATTGTTTAATTGTTACTGTTTTAAATGGTGTTTTCCCCAGTTGTTACTATTTAATGAGAACTAATTAGGTGTTTGGTATTGTACTAGGTACTTGACATGGACTATGGAATCCTTGTCTCAATCTTATGATAGTTCTTATTTTAGTTCTTAGATACACAATAGAGTAGATATGACTTTCACTGTACAGATAAAGAAACTGAGGCATAAAGATGTCAGGCCCTTTGTACAGGGTCACAGCTGGTAAGTAGAGAGGGATATAGCAGAAATGGAGAAAGAACGTTCTTAATGAAGCCAACAAATTACTCTCTTTCTTACTTCCAGCCAGTGGAAATCTAGATTGGTCATGTCTAGTTCATTGTAGATAGAATGAGTTAACTCATTGGCGGGTATGATATTCATTGATTTGTTTGACTATGTCCTGCGTGCAAATCTATGTATTGTAAGAATCATGAGATTCTTCTGAGAAAATAAAAGTAAGGTCCTTTCTCTCAAACCAAAAACTCAAAAGCCGGTATGCAACGGAGTGAGAAATAATGGAGTCTGTTACAAGTAAAACACAATAAGTGCTTTATTACTGCTATATGCCTAGTGCAACGGGCCCCAGCGGCCAGCAACACATTTCAGGGCTATCCAGGAGGCTTAGCTAAAAAGCTCATCTTTACCGATGTGGCGAATGAGCGCTCTCCTCGGCCAGGCCTACTCCATGCCAGGCGATGGACTGACATTCAGCCCGATTGGGACTGCTCTTCTCTATCTGCCTGCTGGCCCCTGGTCTCTCTACTCCACCGTTTGGTGGCCTGTGGAAGGCAGGAGTGCGGAGTCCAGCTGACCTCGCTCCCCTCCCACCTCTTTTGTGGGAGAAGAGAGGGAGAGGGGGGACCGGAGGGGGAGGGAGGATGGGTAAGGGGGAGGATAAGGGGGAGGGTGAGGAGGAGGGGGAGGAGAAAAGGGAGGGTAAGGGGGAGGGGAAGGAGAAAGGGGAGGGTAAGGGGGAGGGGAAGGAGAAAGGGGAGAGTAAGGGGGAGGAGAAAGGCAAGGGGAAGGGGGGGGAGGGGAGGAGAAGGGCGGGGTCGCTTGAAGGAATGGTGCTTCCTCCCCTGGAGGTGACTGTGCAGGGCGGTTTGGATCCTCCTGGAGCTTTCTGGTTTGTCAGTCCAGGTGCACAAGTTCAGTATGCATGTATGCATGTCCCAGTGCCTCATTCTGGGCTGCCTGCCGTAGGTGGCATTAACACGGGGTGGGAGGTTTCTGGCTCTGCTAGAAAAGTGCTTGGCAGTTGCATTGGAAAGGAAAAGGAAGCCCATCTCATCCCCCCCTGCTCCGGGGGTGTTAAGTGAGTGGTCCTCCCCAGTGGCGTCCTTCGTTCCGATGTGACGAAGGGAATGGGTGTGATCGCCTGCTGGAACGGGCTGAGCACGCACCCCTGTGTGTTAAAAAAAAAAAAAGTTCATCTTTAAGTTGAGTCCTTATGCACAAGTCGGATTTTGAGTGGCCAAAAGTGAGGGAAAGACTTTCCAGGTCAGGGAACCACAAGGGTGGATATTCACCCTGAGTCACGGCTGACTCACCAACCTCAGTGCAGGACTTGTTCCTGGAACAGCAAAGAGTTTGAAGTTTCTAGGCTTGAGGTATCTGTAAGGAAGTTCTATTTTAGCACATGGTAATAGAAAGGGAAAACCATAAAGTCTGGGAATTGAGGAGTCCCATTGGGTCATCTAATTCAATGGTTCATCCAGTGCCTAAATCTCTCCTAAAAGCTGTCAAGTGGTCATCCAAGCAGGCCCAGATGTTCCTAGTGTCAGATACATTATTATCTCCTGTGGGAACTGATTGTATCACTTCTGAATGTTTTTCATGTGTTTACATGTTTGTATGTCAGGCTAGAACTTGAGCTTCACAGGGCGGAGACTGGCTTGCCTCCTATGTATCCCAGACACCTAGCAGAGAGTGAGCTCTCAATGAACGTGTGCTGAAGTGAATGTTTTCCGTTTCAGGATCCTTATGTGAGTCCCACAAGGCTGTGCCATGCATAAATGAAGACAACTGTGCAAGCCCCCTTTCACCTTCTTCAAGTTACAACCTCCAGTTAATCAACAGTTCCTCAAGAGAAATTACTTTGGGCCTCTTCCCTATCTTGGTTACTCAAATGAACTCCCTTGTGCTTCTATTTTTAATGTGTTGTAAGAATAGAAGACAGTCCTCCAACTTTGCCATCTAGACAGATCTGTCACATTGCTTGTCTTACACTGTGACCCAAGATGGCACTAATGTTGATACAGTCCACTTTGTACTTATATTTTGCCTCACGTTTTCCTACTGGTCAACTAGTGTGTCAGCCCTGTGAAAAAGTACTTTTGTATCCCAACGCTTTTGTAGATACACTTTTGTATTCCAATGCTCCCCCCAGTAAAAGGAACACTGTATATGGATAGGGACCAGGGTATCCAGATACATATTATCTGAACGACAATGGAAACTGGATAAACGGAAAGAAACCATTCTCCCATGGCCATGCTGGGTCGGCTGTTCCTTGGAATGCTTGCCATTCAATGGGACAAAGCGAGCTACTGCTATCACTGCCTATATAGCCTAATCTGTAAAACCTCTCTCTCTGCAGTAACAGAATACTGTGAAAGAATAAGTGCTGTGAGTCCATCCTGCTGCCACTAAACCTTCCAAGTACCTGGCCAGCCCGTAACTATGGGAGCAGTGCAGAGGCTGAGTACACAGCCCTGGCAGACTGCTGAGAGATGCTGCAGAAACATGGACTTCTCATGGACCGTCCAGATCTCAGGTGCTTCACTGGTTAGTAAGTCTTAGTTAACCCTATCCTTCCTTGTGAGTGCCTGCTAAGTCTCAATAAACCTTACCTTTTATAGACATCTCTGAGTGTTTCTTTTTTCTCTCTGCTCTACTCCCCCAGCACAGCAGGGCTGTGATCAAGAAAACTGATCATGCACCTTTTCCCTCCGTCCCTTCCTCCCTCCACTCATTGCTGTGTTCTACTGCTTGCTCACGCCTCTCTGGTCTTGACTCGTACAGGTAGCTTTTGAAAACCAAGCCCAAGGTAAAAGATCCAACGCACTGAATTAGAGCCGTGTGGTCAGAAAGGAAGAGACAAAACAAGAAACATTCTGGAGGCATTATCAGTGGGATTTTCAGGCTCCTGACTCAGTGACTGCTTGTTTACTTTTTAAAGGAATTATCCTTCCCTGCAGACCACTTATGGATTCAGACCACTTATGAATTAGTAACAGTCCCACCTTCTCCCTACCTTGCTATCCTGGAAGCAAGCATATAACTATTTTCAAATCTTTTTGTATTTTTCCCTACTTTTCATCTGGAAATACATTGGGGAAAGTCAACTGCAGATATCTAGCCTGGATAACTGAAAAGATGCAAGTCCTTTTCTTGAGGTAGAAAGTCCACAAGAAAGAGCACTCAATAGGTGAAGCATTTGATTTAGGGTACTGTTGAGTTTGAAGACCTAAGGCTATCCTGTTAGCAATTATGATACGTTAATATTTAGGCTCTGGAGCATAAACTGAAATATAAATCTGTAAGTCATAAACAGAGACACTTGAAACTTTCCCCAGGAGATGAAGTGTTGACTGTCACCTAGATTGAACTAAGACAAGGCTAAGGAAAAACCTTTAATGGTGGCCATGTAAAATGGGTATTTGGCAGAAGAATCTCCAAGAAGGAGAGAAAGGAGTACTCACAGGGTATAAAGGAAACTTGCTGAGGTTAATACCACCAAGGGGATAAACCAGTCTCATGAAATGCAGCAGAAAGCTCTTACAGAAATCATGGAGACATAGGGGAAGACAAAAGGCTCATTAACAAAATGTTAACTGCACGGGAAGTACTTCAAAGAATCAACAACTGGGATCTCATTTTATTAAAAAGTTTTTGCACTTCAAAAGAAATCACCAACAAAACAGAACACAAATCCTTATGATTCTTGAATTTATAGAGTAGACTGTACAATGATCTTGGAGGAAAGTTCCCAGTGAAGTTTTAAAGCCAGATTGTAAGTAGCTAAGAAATAAGTTGAGGAGTGGATTGTAGCAATAAAGGCAAAGTTGCAAATGTAGACTGCTATTTATGTTGTGCAATACATGCCCATTTAAAAATATATATGATATTCATGTCTTACAGATTCAAAAGTTTAATATGGAGCCCATTACTATTTTATTGTGTTTCTAACTGACTGTGTAATTGGGCACTTTGTATGTCTTAGGCCTATACCAAGTAATCAACAGATCTCACTATATATGAAAACATGGAAATAGCTTTTCATTAAGCATACGTAGAGCTACTTGTCTTTTTTGGTTTTTTGTTTTTGCTGTTGCTTTCTTTTTATAGTTTTCTTTTAGATGTCCAATTATCAGATGCTTAATCATTTTTATTGAGATCAGTCATCTAATTCTATGTAGACTGGAAGCCATGTGAAACTCTTTAGACTTTAACTCATATGTTTTTTTGGAATTACTACTGGGTTTGGTGAATTTTTGAATCGTTTCTATATTGTTTCCTAATCCCTGGGTGTGAACCTGTGGGAAATGCCTTTCACTTTCAAGTCCAGATTCTACTACCAAGACTGACAGGATGTTAGTCTGGAAGTGATATCAGGATTCTTCTAGCTCATTTCAGTTTCACAGGTAGACCAACAGCCCCACGGCGGGGCAGTTCTTAAAAACTTCTTAAAAACATGACTTCTTAAAAACATGACATTGCGGAGTGATTGAAGGATGGACTTTGGAGTCAGGGCTGGGATTGAAATATGGTTCTATGATTATCAAGCTGCTATACAAGGCTCTTTACCCTTGAGCCCCTATTTCCTTATTTTAAAAATGGGATTAAGGATCACCGCACCTGTCTTATATAGTTGCTATGCTGTGGAAATGAGTAGACTGTGAAAGGGCCTCATCAGCAACTGAAATGTGTTAAAAACTCAAATGAGATCCCTCCCTGCTCCTGCAGAAAACAAGCAGAACTCAGAGCAAATCTAGGTCTTCTGATTTCTGGGCCAAAGCCTTTTTCCCACACAAAAGTTCTCTGAGTACCCCGAAGGTATGTGAAGACTTTCCAAGAGAGACCAACATATGGATAGGTTTTTTGTTGTTGTTTTTTGTTTCTATATGGATAGTTTTAAGGGACTGGATTTCCAGCTCTGCATGAGCTCTATTTTACAATTGGTCTGGGTATGTACCTGTAGTTGGAATTTGTATTTTTCTCGTCATACTTTGCAACGATTCTTCTACTTTGTGATTTTTTAATTTTTGATTTTTATTAGTGTATATTTATAGTACATGGTGATTATATTCATTGTAGGGGTTGGTATGTGTACATAATCTCATTGTTTTGGTCTTTCCCTCTGACCCCCTTTTCATTTTTCCAGCATCAGATTCATTTATCTTGTATATCATACATCGTCATAAAGTTAATTATCATAAATGCAGATTAATGATCAGACTAATAAGCAAAAAAGCCCATGTAAAACAATTATGCTAAATCAATGTATTCTTTTAGAATCATTCTCCATGCTGGATAATAATGTTTTTCTCTCTTTTTTCCTATTGTATGTCTTTTTTCCCACATTTTATTTATATATTGAATTTTTCACATAAGAACACCATGTGATATTCAAACTTGTGTGTCTGATTTACTTCACTTGACATCTATCAAGGTGCATCCATTTTCCTATTAGTGACTCAAATTTAACTTTCTTTACAGGGTGGTATTCAATTGTACATAAATACCACTTATTTTGTTTTGTTTTGAGACAGGTCTTGCTCTGTAGTTCAGGCTAGCCTTGTGGAGATCCTCCTGCCTCAGCCTCACTGATATTACAGGTGTACATCACCAGGTATGATTTAAATACCACCTTTTTAAAAATCCATTCATCTGTTGATGGATATATAGCCTGTTCCCAATATTTACCTATCATGAATTGTGTTGCTACAAAATGGGTATGCACTGTGGTATGATGTCTTGTAACATTTTTAGGAAGCTACCTAAAAAGGGAATAGATGATCAAAGGGAATTTCGGTTTTTATTTTTTGAGTAGTCTCCATACAGTGCTTTACTTTAAAGAAGCTATTTTAAATCTCATGATTGTACATCACCCTGAAGTGTTACATCTCCAAGCAATACAAAGATATTGATAATTCTTTTTAATGAGTTATATAAACTGCCATTCAATCTCTAGAATTTACAGATGCATTTTTTGTATACTTAATAAGGTTATTACATTTGTGACAATGTAGGCTGCTTTGTGAATGTGTACTAATAATTGTTTCAATGGTTCAATGAAAAATAATCTTTCAACACTTAGTACTTTATGGTCGCAAAAAATTTTAAACTTTCATTTTGCACTGAAAAATTATTTGTGAATACCAGGAATCGAATACAGGACCTTGCACTTGCTAGGTAAGCACCATGCCACTGAGCTATGTCCCCAGCCAGAAAAATTACATGTATGTAATTTTTGTGGAAGAATGATAAGATGACCAATAAAATACTTCAAGCGTACAACTGTACTACATCAGGTGAAAATCCATGAAACAGGTGGCATAGAAATACAAATTTAAGGAGAGAAAAAACAAAAATTTCAGCTATGAAAGCAGAGCTTGCTATAAATTGGTAGTGAATTGTGGGAGAGTACCCCGTTGTTCTTTCGTGAAAAAAAAAAGCCCTTGCTGCAACCTGCACCTGACCTCTCATTCACCCAATTTACAGAGCTATGTAGAGCTGGCTGTATTGAACCAAATGTTCTTGGCAGTAAAGATGCCAGCCTTGTACACATCAAAACCATCTGTGCGTTGTTAATTAGAGGCCTCTGTACCTTCCTTCTCTTATGCATTCTGCCACGACCTCCACCCACCTCCTTGATTAATACCAATAAAAGCCATGAGCTTTGTAGATGAGGCCTTTTGTACCACAAAGAACACTGGGTCATCCCAGAGCCTCCCGGCTTCGGAATATTTTCTCTTTGTCTTTCTTTTGCATCCTTGTGCCGTTTTGCCAATGGGTTAGATAAATACTCTCAGGAGGGGTTTCTGTAACTGTAAATTTTTAGACTGATACCCGTATTTGGAGTTTCAATAGTGGATACCAAGATACTCTGGTATTTATATTTCTTTGGGAAAATTGTTAAAACTGATGAGATATATTTATTTATAATATTCTGGAAATTATATCTTTTCCAACTCTTTAAACTCATGATAAAAAATTTAAATGCTAACTTAAAACGTATCTAAAAGACTACACTTTTTTTTCAAGATTCTTTGAAAAAGATTCTGCCACCGCTATCCTGGAAAGCACACACACACACACACACACACACACACACACACACACACACACACAGAGTCTCAGGGTTTTGCGTCTTCCCTCTAATCCCACACCTCAGTCACACATTCCCTTGCGTTGTCTTTCAGGGTTAATGCTTCTCCCTCAGGTCCCAGACACACGCATCACTCCTTTCCTCCAGGACCTTTCATTTTTCCTGACCCTTGTGGAAGTCTTTTTGGTCACTGGGAGACTGTCAGCTTCTTTGTACATCTATGGCTCCAATAGACATTCTCAAACTTTAGCATGCATCAGAGTCACCTGGAGGACTTGCAGAATCATAGATTATTGGGTCCTTCTTCTAGAATTTCTGATCCAGAATATGTGGGGTAAGGCCTAAAAATATATTTCTGACAAATTCCCAGATGATACCAATGTTGGGGACCTCACTTTGAGAAACGCTGCTGTAAAGTCATATCTGATCTGCTCTTCAGAACCCACATGCCTGAACGGCAAACACCTTTTCTGGAGGTAACAGGGACACCAGAAGAGATACTCCAAGTGTGGACATAAAAGCATACAAG